ATTTCGTTGCTTTAAAATAGTTTAGGTATTTTAAGTAACGTTCAGTAAGCCGACAAACCTCCATCTCCCATTCTCTTTCTAAGCGAGATTTAACAGGGTTTTAAGCAAATTCTCGGTATTATTTTTGGAAAGAAGCTTTTCACATTTTTTGTGTTTGTCTTATCCTGTCGCATCCGGATCCGTCTCACGTCTCTAAATTGATTAAGTCCGAGTAAATATCGTCTCTTTGTGTTTGTGTAAACTCCTTCATTGTTGGCGAGATAAATCTGGCCGAAATTAATTTAGAATTAAATATCGAAATGTTTTTCTGCGAAGTGTGTGCGCCCGGGGATTTAATTTCGGCCATGTTTATCTCGTAAAAACCAATAACTGGCCCCAGTGTCAGGAGTCGCAGGTCGCAGCCCGCCTGCCTCGGGGGCTATGAACCAACACCATTCACGCCAATTCTATTTTTCTCTTTCATTGCAATAAAAAGCGAGCTTAGTTAAGGGAACTTGTCCCGATCCGTGCTTGGGAATTTTACAAATTATTATTTCATGGGATTTTTGGTTAACTCTTCACAATAATCTTTCCTCATTAGAAAGCCAAGTAACTAAAGAAAGATTTTGCCAATAATCCAGGAAGTGTTGAAATTAATGATTTTGACAGGAAACTTCATTTGGATATTTACACAAGATTTTCTCTTTATTTAACTATAATCGATGGAGTGGTTTCAACCCCAACTTTCTGCAAAAACATTTTACTAAATTTGGGTTTAATTAATTAGATTCTTGGCTCGAGACTCCACGAAACTGCACCTTAATCTGAATGAAATATTTTAATTTAAACTTTACAAACAGGTAGACTAAATTTGCTAGTCTCCTACAAAGTAAATTAAAGTGAACGTTTTCGTTTTGTGGATATGCTTAGTGAATTTCATTAAATGAAGAGCATTTCAATGTGCAATTACATTGAGCTTTGAGCTTATCGAAATGTTACAATTTTTATTAATGAAACGGAAAAAAAGGAAGTCATTGAGTTACTTGGGGCTTGTTCACAGATTACCAGACGATATAAGCAGACAGCACAGCGGTCAATGTTTAAACATGGGCTGATCATTAGAGAGATTTCTATTGAGGGAGGATTATGGCTTTCTGTTAAACAGCATGACAATGGTAAACAGACTTAAATTATTATCTACATAATAACAGTATGCTCAGTGTTAAGGATGTAATAGGTATTAAACAGGTCTTACTGCTAACTTTAGAACAAGTCAAATGAAAAAATGTATTTTCAAAAATATGAAACATTCTAAAAAATGAAAAGCAGATAAAAATAGTTATTTATTATACAAGACGATAAAATTGAATTTTATCTTTGAGAGCAATTTAGTGTCGAGGCGCCAGCCGAGACGCTAATATGCTTGAAAAGATAATGAAAATTTTATTGCCGTATACAATATAAAATTTTATTCAATCCTCACTAATTTTGTAGTCAATTTGGTGGATATTTATAAATGTCAAAGTAAAATTCAACAATGAAATCTAATGTCAAAGATCGTTGGCAACTAACAACAATTGATGTATTTTTTATCATCTAGACGATAAAATTTTATTTTAACATGAAGAAAAGAGTAGATAAAATTCAATTTTAACATAGAGGTTGAATAAATAAAATTTGTATTTTAAAATGACTATTTACGTAGGTACCTATAAGTTGTAATAAGGTCATTTGAGCATTTTTTTATTGATTATTGAAGGGAAAAGTTGCGTTTATGTAAATACATTACATTTCAAAAAAATTCAAAACCAAATAATCTTTCTACACTCTCGTAGAAAGTTATAGGTGAAAACAGACATTTTAATAATGAAGCTTTTGCCATTCATTTTACTATACCTTTTCTTTTAGAAATCATTAACAAAAGTTGGCAGATAAGACACTCTCTCTTACGTTTTTCAGCACAATACTTGTATACTTTTTTTTGCAGGAATCTTTAGATTATTTTAACTAGCTATTTTTTACCTATTTACAAATTTTACAATCTTATTCTAAAAAATTGTTTTTTACTAACAAGTTTTGAAACGTTACATAATGAATAAATAAAAATGGCAAAAATGTATTAATTGAAAACACTGTACGTTAATTTGTACTCAAAATTTTATTTATCAAAATATTATTTTTCTAGGTGTTTGGATTACGAGTACTTACTTAATCGTAAAACCTATTTGTAAACATAATATAAGTAAACTATATTCGTATTTAATACAATATTTTGTAATTTTTACGTTTTTGTTTTTTTCAACAAAATGACTGATTTTTAAAGTAGGTAGTACAAAAATGTGTGTGTATAAAGTACGAGTATAAAATAGCCTATTCTTTGTATGAAATGTTTTAAAACTATAAAGTTTTACTTTATAAATTTTACATACTGACTGGTAAACTTTAATTGAACTTTAATTGAAAATGATATTCTTTTAAAATCTAGTGATCAAAAAAAATTTTAAATTAATTTTAATTTTTTTACATATTTTCGATTTAGATAGCTTCTGACTGAGAGTTCTTGAAATAAAATATATTTTTATTCTTGTTACCAATAAGCAAAAAGTAAGTTGATAATGGATAATATTTTAGAGTTGCAATTTTCAAAGTTCGCCAATTTCAAATTTAACTTAAAAAAACAAATTTGTGCAAAGTGTTTTATTTTATTATATACCCGGTATATATACAGGCTGCGCCAAAACTCGAGCCCCAGAAAAAATTTTCAAGTAAGGTAAGATACCAGGAACATGAAAAAAATGTTTAAAAAATTTTGACATTTATTTTTTGACATTTGACATTTTTTATATCTATTTAATGATACTGATGATCTTGTATATGGTTTTTTACAATTATTTAGTAAAGGTACAAAAATTTTGCTAATAAAAGCCTCATATAACATTGAACAGAATTCCAATTTAGAATACTTTGTTTCCTCTTTTAATAGCCTATAGCAAAAAAACTTGGAAAATTATTTTTCCAACAGAAATAAATAGAGTCAAAGTGCAAAATTTAAACAACTTCGAAATTTTTATAGATACAATTTTTTTAACATTTTTTCTATGTTCCTGGTAACTTACCTTATATGGCATTTTTCTCTAGGGCGCGAGTTATGGCGCACCCTGTATATCGGGTTAAAAATAAAAGTTTGGTATTTTTGGATTTTTTTTAATTTCTATCAATAAAGAATTGCAAGCGTGGCTTAAGGTAAAGCAGTTTTCATTGCTTACATATTAGAAAGCAATCTGTAGATTATACAGAGTGGTTATAAATGATTTTCATCTAGCCAGCTTTAGATTTTTTTTACATGTAACTTTATTTGTGCCGCTCTACTTTTTTGAAAGTTCTAGTTCTGTCATTAGTGTCACTTATTAATTAATAATAAATTGTTGTTAATTAAACTTTTATTGTTTCAACTAATTTCCAATAATAATTGATAATAATGTATACTTTGGAAAAAAAACACGTTTGTAATTGAAATCTATTTTCAAAGTGGACGCTTAGTAAACGGCGATTTTTTGATTTTGAGTTAAAACAAGTAGTTATTTATAACCACTTTGTAATTTTAATTTTCAGTATTATTTATATTTTTTTTAAATTTTGCAATAAGTCAACGTTACACGCATGTCGGTTAACACTGACCTTTGCCTAAATTCTATTAAAAGTGAATGTTTGCTAGGTGTAGTATCATTGGCACAAAAAATAATTATACACAATTTTTGTTTTTTCTTATAATTCTTATATAATATTTCAAAAGAACTTTACAATTTAAAAACTAAATTATTATATTAATTATAAGGCTTTTTGCTGAATTAAAAGAAAATTAGAAAAATTGGCAGCGTATTTTAAAGATATTTCAATACCTTATACCTTATGAGTTCTTTAGAAGGATATTCGCGTTAAAAGTTTTAGCTGGAACACACTGTTTTTTAATTTATGAGACAATCATGTTATTGTATGTTTGTTTTAAATTAATAACGCAACAATTTTAGAAGAAATATTTAAATAAAAAAAAAAAACAATCTCAATTTATAACTCTTATTTACCGCTCTACTGAAAATCCTATTCATCAGGTCTTTAATTGCGCGTTATTGATTTTTGTATTAACCGTTTGAAATTTATGCAACATTAAGTCAAAAAATTCGAATAATAATGTTTAATTAGAGCTCTTAAAATAATAAACAATTTTGTAAAATGATTAAAATCCGTATAAATGTTTAATGCAACTTATAATAGGATCAATAAAATCTGTTAATTACAATAATTTAAATACAGAATTCATGCATTATTAAAATTTGAAAATTGAAACCAATAAAATTTTATTGTACACATAATAACACCGTGGTAGTTTCTAATAAGTAGTCGATTTATTGGAAAAAATTCCACTAAATTTGGCCACTAAACACGATTGATCAATAAAAAAAGTTTGTAATTAGTCTAGCAATTTACTAAATTAGTAAGCAATACCTCAAGGGTCCAAAATCGATGAATCGGTAATTGTTTTTTAACTAGTTAACATGATGGGAGGTAAGAAATTAAAACAAGTAAAATTGTGCCATGAATGATAATCCAAAAATGCTAATAAATAACAGAAAAACTAATCAAGCGATTGATACAAATATTTTCCATAAAATTAAAGCGGTTATCGTTATTAACAGCACCCTAATAAATAAAATACTCAAACAAAATTAAAAGAATATTACGTCCGTAATGTAATAATAAAACACCTGATTATTTCTCAAAATGTTAATCTCATTTCAATATTCGCAGCATAATCTATTTCATTAACATTTAACACAATAAAAGCATAATCTTAATTTGAACACAATCCAGTCGGCGTGGTTACGGCTGGTGTGCGCATGCGGGAATTGCCTCACTTCCGAGTTAATTTTCTGATTGGAGGAAAATCGAGGGAGGGTTATTTCTGTACCCCCAAATATACCCTTTACAAGTGGTTGAAACACTCAGTCGAGAAGCAAGTTTTACGCTGGTCGTTTCAATACAATACGTGCTTTATACCTCTTCAGTGTTCTGTTGACATGTCGCAAAGTCAAGAAGAAATGCGTCCAAGGGCTGTCTACAGCATCGACCAGATTTTGGGAGTTAACAGCTCATCCACGTCCACGAAGAGCATTGAAGGTATTTTTTATTTTTTTTTTAAATTTGTTTGCGTGTTGAGGGAATAAACAAAAATGATTAAATATATGTCACAGACAATCTGATAGACACAATGTAATTAGGGAAATAATTAGACTACATGGGGAGCGAAATTAGGGTTTTACCCTTTTCATATTGAGCCCCCTAACACGTGCTCTTCCGATTCTAATAACAAATCAATTGGGGAAAAATTGATGAAGCAGAAAGTTAAGCCGATTTATCAATTGATATTTTAAAAAATTTACAGAAATTTGTATTTGACGTTTTGGGTTGATTAAAATTACCCGGAAACTCGGTAATTATCACACTCCAACACGTAATTACTTTGTAATCTCCACCCTTAACCAAGCGGAAGCAATTTTTTAAACTTGTCATTATAACATGTTATTTGGCAGATAGTAATCTAACTTTGAGAAATATACACTTCCGGGTTGCTTTAAGTCAAATTCTGTTAGAAATTGTTACTTTATGCAATAAAAAAATAATGTTTTTACCATAGGCGTCGTTTGAAGGGGGCAAGGTGGGGCATGTGCCCCCTAAGACATTTTTTCGGAATAAGTTTTATTCTGTTAGTGGTAAATTATTATTTTTTCCAATTTTGTTGTGAAAAGCAACCATTGTGATATGTCATATTAGTTGTCAAATGTGTTTAATTTTATCACTAGTTATAAAATACAGAGTGGTTATAAATGATTTTCATCTAGCCACCTTTGGATTTTATTTGTGCCGCTCTAATTTTTTGAAAGCTCTAGTTCTGTCATTAGTGTCACTTATTAATTAATAATAAATCGTTGTTAATTAAACTTTTATTGTTTCAACTAGTTTCCAATAATAATTGATAATAATGTATACTTTGGAAGAAAACAAGTTTATAATTGAAGTCTATTTTCCAAGTGGACGCTTAGTAAACGACGATTTTTTAATTTTGCGTTAAAACAAGTAGGTACCCCTATTTTGGTAAAGTGGCATTTTTTATTTTACATGGAAAATTCACAGCTGGCTAGATGAAAATCATTTATAATCACTCTGTATATCACTAGTGTTAAAATGTGTGACATAAAGAAAACAAATAACACTATTTTCATACCTAGTATGATTTTGGAAAATTATTGAAATCACAGATTTTAAATTCGAATTTGATGCTTTTCATCGCTATTCAAAATGGCTGTTTTTTGCACACGTCTAGTAAAAAATACGCTCATTTTGCAATTTGTTTTTTTCTTAACATTTTTTAACTTTTTTATCCTTAGACTATTTTGGTTGGTTATTTCTTTATTTTTTTTATTTCTATTGATTATTGTTTTTTTGAATGTTCTTTGAAAGAGTTTTTATTTTATTTTAATTTTCAAGTTACATTTTTCTTAGTATTTATTAGTTCATGTTATTTACTGATCTGTGTTATTTTATGCCTAACTTTTATAATTCTTCTATTTTTTATATTTTTTATCTTTTACACTTTTATACTTCAATTTATGGTTTTAGATTCCTGTCTTATGGTTTCATTTATAATTTTCATTAGAAAAAATATGGTTTTATGTTCCTATTTTTGTATAAGATGTTTTTGTGTTTGTAATAAAATATGTATTTTTAAACTGCGATGAGGTTGTCCCTTTCTAAAAAAAATTGTCACGATGTCCATGGTTTTTACTCGAAATGTTGTATTATTAGTTATAATTTTATAAATATTTTTTTACAAGTTTCTTATTGAATTAATTTAAATCTAATTAATTAAATTTATTGTTAATAATTTAGTGTTGTTAATTGGTTAAATAACTAATTACAATTACATACATTTAAGTAAATAACA